TTTTCTTCATATCTTTTCATCATCATGTTAATTAATCTCTCCGCGCCCCAGGCGCGAATTAACTCTCACGGGTTTCCATGTTGCCTCCGGTCTCCCTCATTGCCTGTACAGCTCTTGCCATACCTCCACGGTCCAACCATCCCTCTGTCATAGTCGCATCATTATGCTATACACATGCATACTCCCTGTCTATCCTCGACACCGGCTACACTTGAGCCGTCTTGTCGGCCAGATCATATCAGCGTCGCCAGTTCACATCGCAGGGCATGGCGATTCGGCACCAGACCACTTTGCGGATGTGCGCTTATGGGCAATACCGCGCGAGTGCTCAGCAGAAATGTTCATGTGCGGGTGTGTTGCTGCCCGTATGCGAGTGTGCACAGGTCTACCCATGGAGGCGAACAAGGTGGGCAGATAGAGATTAGACGACTGAACATGAAAGACATCTGGAACAGAGACTTCGGTTCAGCCTCGAGTCATGGGACGCCTGATGTCGTGGTGTGGTGGTAAAGAGACGCAGATCACCGCGACCGTCGCCACCACCGCCACACCAGCGTAACGCAGCCAAATATTGCGCCCACGGTAAGCAATTAAAGTCTCACCTTCATTTCTACTCGTGCTAGTCCACTCTTGCACGACATGTCCGCTGGACAATTTACAAAACAGGCGCAGAGTGGCTTCATATTTCCTGATTGGAGACCGGAGGTTTGTAAGGGGACCCGAGAGCCCAATTGGACTCGAGGCGTTTGGGGCTGTAGATTCGGCCACAAATTGGTTAATACGACAGAAGGGTTAATCTTGCTCAGACATTTGTTAAACTGGGCCTCGCTCCAAGACCACTCCCAACTCCCGATAGACCTATTTCGGGCAAATTGTTTCAACTCGGATCACTCACTAACCGAGTACTGGCAAGGACAGATTTCCCTTGGTTGCAGGCTCCATCCAAATGGCGACAGCCTAGCCGACCGGTACATTAGTTCGTGTCAAAGTAACCATGGCCAATGGTGTGTCCAAGCCCAGCTGCTATGGGTGTGCATCTAGGCCTGCGTTTGCGGAGAAGAGCCTATCGAAAATAGTGGATGATGCAAGGGTATCCGTGACAGAGAGGAGGAGAGAGGCGATGTGTAGGGGGGCGGGTGGCTTAAGAGGGTGGAGTGTATGGACCGTGGTGGTACGTGGCCGGGCTGAAAATTCCCAAGTTTAGCAGGTTGGTGTCTCATTCCAAGCAGTCTACCTGTTTTTTTTATTCAAAATCACTTGGCATGCCTGAGTTGCCCGTATTTTGCCACTGTCCCCCTTCCTGGTTCTATATGACTTGACCCGACGGACTAGAACAGGACCAGTAAAGTTGTCAGCCAGATTCAAGGCTGGAGGGGCGCATCAACTGAAGCATCAAGATCCTAAGGATAGGTGAGCTTTAGGTTAGCTTAACGCGTGTAGGAGGGCTGCATTAGTTGGGTGAGGACCTCTCGAATGACCTCTCAAGAGAGTGTAATGAAGATCCGCTAAATCAGGATTAATTTTGTAATCCCCAAGGGCTGAAGGGATTAGGAATTATAGAGACACAGTAGGATTGTTACCAGAATACAGGGTGACATCTGCCCGACACAGATGGGAAGGAATAGACTTGGAAAACCAAGAATTAGGCAGGAAAAATGAGACAAAAAGGGGTACGTTTTGCTGGTGTAGTTGAGTGAGATCGTTGAAGAGGACAGAGAGTTGGGTAATTTAGCAAATAAAAATATTCGCTCAAACAATGCCTGGAAATGGATGGGCAATTTGTGAAAACTCATGAATATGAGTGGAAAAAGAAAAGTAAGAAGAGCCAAAGGTAAAAATGAGGAAGCACAATTAGGGAGATAGCAACGATAAATAGAAGATAAATGAATACAACAAGGAGTTCAGAGAGAAATCATAAAGACTCAGCTATAAATAAACAACAAAAGAAAGAACAAAGGCGGAGAGAAGAAGAGAACCATCCATTTCCTGAGTCATATAACGTTGAGTAACAGTTCCAGATGCATCACTTTGCTCTAATTTCCAATAACCAGTACTCTTGATTCCGACCATTTCGGCCATTGTTTGTTACAAGAATGCTCGTCTGTTAAGTTGCCCGACAAGCCATGGCACAATTCGTCCGAGGCCGAGCAGAAGGAGGCTTTCCCGATGAATTTCTCACAATGCATGTCGAATGGAATCCACCGCCTTATTCTGATGCAACGACCTATGCGCCTTCAAATCACAAGTCAGCTCAACAAGGATATTTCAAGAGATGCCACGAAGACTAATCACCTTCCGTATCTACGTCAGTGAGTGTACTGGGATATATCATATACATTATAGCGTATTTCACAATGATGCGCTTGGGTTTGTGTCTAAGCCTATGCGGTGGTTCTCTCATGCATACGTATGTGTGTGTATGTGTGTGTGCTGTTGCGAATCGTTTAGTCAAGTGAAGATAGACTACCCAAACGATAACCGACTATGCCGTACTTTCGAATATTGAGCCGCCTCATTCGGTCTTTGTTTGAGCCATTCAACTTTATTTGCTAATTCGTCCAAAGGAGCAGCGCATGTCTGGCCTTCTCGCATGCGAACGGGAGCCCAACGCTTCTGATGTGTACTCTTGCAGCGGCAGAAACGTCGAGAGGAGGGTGTCCACGCGGAGTTTGAAATGCGATCTGTTAACGCAGACTCGGAGCTGCCGGAAGGTTCAAATGCTCCCGGGCCATGTGAACAACAGGCGCAAACGCAACCTTGATAAAGTCAATCCATCCATCACCATGTCTGCCTGTGCGTGTGTGTGTGTATGTGTGCACGCATTTGTGTGCACACGTGTCTTGGACTATGTGGTGCGTTTAGTTTTCAATTTATTTATATACACGAGGGCGTACGCTTGCACACTTGTAAAAAACCTTAGCTGCAAGTGAAGGACCCACTTTATTAACCGGCATCGAATCAATACAGCCAACTTTAACTTGGACTCAAATAATCTGAGATCCAATTAGGCCGCCACACAAGACGCCGAGACGGCCGGTTTCACTTGCACTGCTTACTTCTGGTCGGGCTTAGCCTGCCAGCGACACCAAGTGCGCATGCACCGGCGCCCGCGCCTCGGGCGCTGGCCGTGGAAGGCAGCGGTCGAGTGGCGGTCGCCTCCGCTGCGCCACTGCGGCTTCAGAGCCGGCGACAGGCTGCTCCGGACACGAGCCATTTCGAACGACGCGTGTGTCTGATTGTGTGCAAGTAGGCCTACTGCATGCGCGTGAATGAATGCGTATGAGTGTTGTGTGTGTGTGATTATTTGTGATGGCGTTTGAAGAAGGGTGCTTTGTGTGAGTGTCGTGAAAAGGTGTGTTTAGGGGGGAGCATGTGTGGAGGTTTGTGCGTGAAGATTTGTGTGCAAGGGTTTGCATATGGGGTCTCATGGAAGGGTGTGTGGGGGCA